TTGAGTATTATATTACATGCAGGCAATAGACTAGTTGAATGCTCTTCATGGGTCTTTCACATATGTGATTATTTTAGTGCAATTTAGCAGTGACCTTATTTTGTGTCAAAATGTGTCTACAAACTTTTTTGTTCACTGTAAAATAATATGCATAATATGTCATTTTTGCAGCAGTTTTCATGGACCACAATGAAAACACATTTTCTTGTTAAAAACCCATAAAAAACATTGTCCATTTTATAATACTTCTGGACATCGGAAAGTACATTGTATGGCACTATACATGTATATTGTTTTTTACCGAGCAAAATTTTACGATATTAAGATATATCTTTATCAAAAAACAATGGTGAAATGTCCTAAAACAGGCCAAACTATTTTCACTGTGCCTAATGAAATGTTTGCTATACAATCCTCATATATTTTATTTCTTAGGTGACATTATCACTGTACTTGATAAAGTGGATGATAACTGGTGGAGGGGACAAATAGGCAATACTACTGGGATATTTCCAGTCACTTATGTTCAAGAACATACCAGTAATAATTCTCAAGGTAAGCGTCTTGTAATTTTATACCAGTACATTTTCAGGCCAGTTTGCTTCTGATTGGTTAAAAGTGGTCATGTGGTTCAGTTTGACCAGGTGGTACTGCCTATTTTCTATGTTTACATTTGAAGGCCAGTAAGTTTATGATTATTTGAAAGTGGCCTTGTGGATTGCTCCCCAGTTATATTTGGAATATACTTCATAATTGTAACTGTGTGTGGTTATCTGCTTTTCTTTCCCATTCACAGCGTATTTTGCACCAAGCTTAATATTAAATATTTTCTCTGCCATTAATTTATATTGTTTAACATTGACAGGGGATGCAGCATTACAGACAGTCAAGGCATTACAGGATGTAACAGGACAACTACAAGAAGGAACTAACTTTTAAAAAAGATGATGTGATCACAATAACTGAAACCATTGACTCTGATTGGTATCGTGGGACATTGAATGGTGTAAGTGGTCTTGTGCCTTCATTTTGTGTGCAATTAATAAAGGACTGTACGGATAGTGATACTGCTGTGGATTACATTAGAGTGAATGATAACCTGAGAAGGAGTCTACGTGGTGAGCTCTCAGATCATGTTAAACATAAAGCTCCCACGGATGCCAAGTCAACAGATGTGGCATGGGCTACATCTCTGTATCCATTCAGTGCTGAAGGGCCAGGAGAACTGAGTTTTATGGATGGAGAGAAGATTGTGTTAACAAGGAGGATCGATGAACAGTGGCTGGAAGGAAATATTGATGGTAAAGTGGGTGTGTTTCCAGCAAACTATGTCCAAATTGTGGTGGATGTACCCAAGGTTGGATTAAGCGAGACTGAGCAAATGATTTCACAGACAAATCAACAACATACAGATGCTAATGATAAGTGCAAAGATATGCAGGGAAAAGCATTGTATAATTTCAATGCAGACACAGATCAAGACTTGCCTTTAAGATGTGGTGAGATTATAACTATTGTTGAAAAAGTTGACGCTGATTGGTATGAAGCAAGAAATTCCTCTGGTCAGGTTGGATATTGTCCTGTCAACTATGTAGAACTCTGCCCAGGTAAACCTAAAAAGAGGCTTGCACCTAAACCCCCAATTAAAGCTGTACCACCATCTCCATGTGTAACATCTGACATCACAGTTAAAGAACAGACAACAACAGTACTGCAGCCACTAGATCCCATGCCCACTCAAACATTAGCTCCTGTTCTAGCACCTTCACTGACCCCTGCACCTGCTCCCATACTTACACCAATGCCAGCACCTGCTCCAACAAAGGCCCCCACATCAGCATTGTCATCTGCACCACCAGTCACATCAACCACCAGTGACAGTACAGCTCTGATAACATCACCAACAGGATCAAAACCCAAACCAGCATTAAAACCTAAACCAACTTCACCATTAAAAGAACATACAACTGCAATACATGGTGAAGGTGATGGAATCTCACCAAACATAGATTTAAATGCAGTACATGGTGAAAGTGATGCAGCATCACCAAATGTAGATGATCTATTTGGTGACACTGCACCTACTGTGGATCCTCTCTTACCATCAGTCTTCAGACCAGGTGGCAGCACATATAAGCATGTATCATTTATTCCAAAGGGACTTTCATCATCCAACAGTGTAGACTCAAGCAAGGGTGACACGTTACATCGTCAAGATGCTATAAGAAGTCCTCCACAAACTGATTTGAGTTTTTTTGATGATGCTGTTTTGCAGCCAACTACAGTACAGAGCAATGCGGAGAGCTCCATGCTTTCTCTTCCCCAGAAGACTTTACTTGATGCTAGTCCTTTGATTGAAACATCAGGGGATATTCTCGCTCCATTGAACGCTGCTCCAGTCATTGCTAAGACTTCAAACTTTGATCCTCTTGCTCCAAAGCCATTTACTCCTGGAGCACCAAAAGGAGTCAAGTCTGTTCAAGGTCCAACAGTGGGTGGATCCAAGAGTACATCGTCAGATTTTGATCCTTTTGGTACTGCTGTTCCTCTACAGAGTAAGATGTTACACAGTGTCCCACCTCCTGTTCCATCCTCAGCACCTTCAGCTCGTCCTACGTTAGAGACCAAATTAAGGTCCATATCACAAATTAGTCAGGATTTGGATGATTTCTTTGGTACATCAGACAATTATACCTCCAAAGTAAGTACATTGGATAGTATTGAGAGTACCCCATCAGAGACACTGACACCCCAACCGCCAACATTTGTGCCATTCACTCAAGTGTCCGCTGCCCCACCCCCTATTCCACCAAGACAGCCTTCACCGAATCCATTTTCCGCAACGTCAGTCACTGATTCACTCAAACACTCCAATCCATTCGCTGCATCTGAAAGCTCACAGCAATCACAAAGTGCAATAACAGAGCTACAGCATTCATCATCCATTTCATCACCTGATCAGATTCCATACCAGGTTGTCCCAAAATGGCATTCTAAGAACTATAGCATTGATAGTGTTACCTCTGAATATTCTGATGATGGAGCGGGTTACTACCACGGTTTAAATTTTAGTATTAACCCAGCACCTGTACATAATGAAGAACAAGGGCCCTTCAGTTTTAAACTACCACCTCCACCATCATCACCGCGTAGAACTCGTCTTGCCTCAGATGAGAGACCCAAATCTCCGAAATATAATCAAAAGACAGCTGTGCCTAGGCCAAAGTCCAAGAAGACCTCAGAGGATGGTGGATTGTTATCTCTAAGTACACCTCCTGCTTCCAGGAGAAACAACATTAACAAGTTAAAAGTTTCTGAAGCAATTGAAAGCTTTGAATGGAATGTTGGTGAATTACAACGCAAAGATACCATTGAGGATGAAACTGATATGCCACCTCCATCTCATGCACCACCTTCATTATTAATAGATGTGGATAATGAAGTAGCAGGTAATCCTAGCGTTTTTGTTTTGGTGCATGCTCATTCTAT